CATAACCCAAATTCTCCAGCATTCCTGTGAGTTGCTTTTCCAAGATCTCTGGACTTCTCTGTGCTCTCCCCAGGAGCTCTCCACGTCCTGGACACCTTCCAAAGCCCATTTTAGAAGCTGGGGGACTGCTGGATGCCCCTGCAAAGTAAAAGCCCATGCCTGTTTATGCCTCCTATTTGACCACCATCCAGGCAGCACAATGACAGCAGCTTTCACTGCACACGAGTGACTCTGGGCTATGAAAATACACTTAGCACATTAACAAAGCTACCAAGGGTGTTTAGGTACAGGTTTTTACCTTCCTCTAGTTTCTGTCCTCTTCTGCAGTCTTCAGCCATTTCCCAAGGCCAAAAGCCTGGTTATTCCAGCAATAACAGGTTATGCCCTCAGGTTAGTAGGTCAAATATGCATGTTCACCCAAGGATAGGCAAGAAACTTGGAAGCAGAAGCACAAACAGGACATCACCACCTTGTGTTTGGAGTATACCTGACAGCCCTCCACAACACAGCTGGTGAGGCAGAGCCATGCTCATGATTAGGGGTTACAGTCTTTTCAGCCAACCTTGAAGCTTTCTTTCACCATCCCTCAGCACCTCAGCAGGCAGCTCCTGGCAACTGCACCAGGTACAGGATTCTTTGGCTGCTGTATTATTTGTACCTCGTATCTCCAAGCCGGAGCTCGAGGGAAATGGATGGATGGATGGGTGGATGATGTGTCTAGGATGTGAGCACAAGCAGCGCCTTCCCTCAGCACAGCTCTTCCTCCCTTGACTCATCTCGGGAAGTGCATCCTGCAGCGAGAGGTCACACTGCAGGATTCAAAGCAAGTCACTTCACAATGAATGCAAGGAAACACTTCACCACACAACGTGCAGCTGCTGCAAGAAAGCTCTGAACTGAGCACTGCCTGGGCTCTGTAAGCAGTAAGACCTGAGCTGAACTAAGGACTTGAACCAGAGGCATCAGGATGTAACTCGAGTGTTTCGGGAGCAGGAAGGAATGTTCCCATGACACAACATCAGGTGCATCGGGGTCTGGGCTTGCCTTTGGTTAAACCCAAGGTACTGGCCATTACCCAAAGCCAGTGAAATGTGAGGTGACTGGGAACACCCCCCGTGGCAGCTGCACACAAGGCACAAGCACAGCCCTGCTCTGTGCAAGCTCCCCAAATCCAGACACTTGTATTTCCTGCCCGTTCCAAGTCCTCACAGCTGCCACGAGCAGCCTTTCCTGTCAATCCACAGTACCTGGTGCTTTCTGAACACAACCCAAAGCTTAGGAAGGAAATCATATCCTCCCTGCTAGCTCTCAGTTTCACACCTTGGTTCCCAGGTTACAGCCCTGACAGATCTCCTGTGGCTGCAGAAGGGTCTAAACCAGCCTCTCTCTGCAGCTTCTCTGCCTGGTTTTATTCAGCCACAGTCTGGTTTTGGAATCAGATTCATGTTTTCCAGGCTCCAGCGACAGATACGAAGTTTCACAGGGATCACAACTTACCCTTTGAGACACAGTAGCTACAGAGTAGGGAAAAACTTAGGTTTCTGCACCTTAACCCCCAAATCCTGGCTAGTGTTGGAAGAACATTACCTAGTTAGTGACATTTGTTAGGAAGGGCAAGACTAGAGGCCAATGGAGTTAGTATGTGTCTCCAGCAGCTTCCTCCTCAGGTCTCCTAGCTGCAGTTTTGCCTCCAAGGGATTCCTTCCAGCTGTTATTCACCACACAGAGCACAAGGCGTTCAACCAGGCAGCATTCAGGGGCTCCCTTTGTCCCAGGCTTGTAGCTTGCAGTGATTCCTCACCACTGAACACGTTTTCTTCCCTGTCCTGGGGGATAAGTGGGTGAGCTGTGTAACTGGAGTAAATCCCCTTGGCAGCAGGCGCTGGCTGCTGGGAGAGGGCCACAGAGGGGCCTGGAATGCTCTTGTGTTTCCAGTCACGCGCCCGTGATGCAGCTCCTCAGAGATGAGCCCTTGCCCGCACGGAGCTATTCCTGTGCTCAGCAGGGCCTGCACCCAGCGCCAGTGGAACCCTCCTGCTGACTGCAGCACCTTTCAGACCAAGTCATGTCCTCTCCATGCACCCTGAGCTCTGACATTCCCGAGATCACCCTCCTCTGCCTGCAGGGATCGGGTCTGCAGCTATACGGAGGATTCCCACCAGGTGTGCTCCCGAGAGCCAGGCATGATCCCAGAGTCCAGCAGGGAGGAACCCCTGTGGCTGCCCTGTGCTGTCTCCCCACGGCATGTGAGAGCTGTGCTACCATTTGCTTTGTAAATGAGGCTCTGCAGTAAACGGTCCCACCCTGCTCTCTCCCATGTCAGCCGAGACTGGGTATCTCAAAAAGAAGTGTAAGAAAGTGAATTTGCATGATGAAAGATGCCTGTAGAAGGGATGGAAAGCCCAGATCTCCAGCCTCTTTAGCAGGTCTGCCTCCAAGCAGGTCAGCTGAGAGTATCTTAATACCTGGAAACCCCCAGTGCCTTCCCACTGATCACTCTAAGCCAGGAGTGGTTCAGGAGGCCACTCACCACAAAAGCCAGTTACTTTCCTTCAGAGCACCAGGAGTGGAAAACAAACTGCCACTGGAAGCCCTGTCAGAGAGGAGAAAAGCCTTCACAGGGTTAGCTTACGCTTTTTGTACTCCCATGGAGCCAACCTGGCCGCTCTCCTGCCAGCACAGCCCCTGGACACGCATGTTCTTTTCCTGGTCCTGGGTACACTGCAAGATGCCCCTCTGATGGTGCTGACGGGAAGGTGCTCTGCTTCTTTGTGCCTTCACACCAGCACTGTGCCTGACGCTCCTCATACCTCTGTTTGTCCCTTACGGCGCTCCCTGGAGCTACCCCACTTCCCGCTGGCTGCGTGAGGTCCATCCTTCCCGTCACAAACATGCAAGCCTCGCAGGCTCTCCCATGGGCCTGCTGCCAGCTCCACCACATGTGCTTTGCTTCCAACAGAGCAAACCGGCACCACCAGCACCAGGGCTTAGCAGCGGCTTCCCCTGCCTGTGCCCGGGAGGGAATCCCGCAGCCGCCTCCTCCAAGGGAAGTAGAATATGCAGGACCTCCTGAAGTGATTGCTCGTGTTTCCCTTCTCCTCACTGCAGCTGGAAGAGCTGCTGCCAACGGGCCTGTCCCTCCTAATGGTGATTGCTTTACGTGGCCTCCTCACAACTACCGGAGCAGCACGCCAGCCTGGCCCCGGGACAGGGCTTTCTAGGAAGCAGTGCCTGAAGCTCCGCAGGTAATGCTCAGGACAGCTTTCTGCTCTGCTTGGGAACAACAAAGAGATGTTTATGTTCCTTTTGCAGTGCTTGTGCAGGGGGAAAAAAGTCTTTCTTTGTTTTAAATCCATCAAATGGTACAAACCGTATCCAGCAAGTACAAGAATGTCATTATGGAGGACAGTGGCCAGCCTGGAAACCTGCCTTTCAGTCCTCACTTGTCTGACAAGGTTAAAGCAAAGCTGCAAAACAAAAGCTCTCCTGGAGCCTAAGTGGAGGAGCACAACAAAAAACCAGAGAGAAAGAGCAGGCAGCAACGCAAACCAAGAGAGGCAAAGCAATAAAGTCTGCAGATGCAGGCACATCTCCAAGAAGTCACTAATGGTTATTGAATGGAAAATGCCTCCTCCAGCAGCAGGGCTTGACACAGCCCAGGAGTGGCTCAGCAAGGTGGGACACAGGCAGGACTGTGCTTCAGAGCAGGGAAAACTCAGGTACTGCCAGCCAGGGCAAAGAAGCATGGGCAGAGCCATGGCTGAGCTTGTTGCAGGCCAAGCTGATGACCTCTTGTTCCCAAACCCACCACAAAGCATATAAAAATAGCCCTAAAGTGCCCAGGATTCAAACTGTCATGTTCCCTCTCCCTTTTCCTCTGTGTTGTAAGTGTTTATGCTGGATACACCACACATCTCTCCATGCTGCCTTTTCTTGTCCTGCTCCCAGCTGGGAGTCCCCATGACTATACAGACACCACAGTGAAAAGGGCACGTGTCAATAAAGCCACTCACATCCCTCAGGGCTGCCCTTGGCAGACAACTGAGAAAAACCCAAGCAAATAACTGAAAGGACAAAGATCTGGCTGAGAGACAGACGTGTTCAGCAAGTGCCTGCTGGCAACTGGAAAGGATTCAGGTCCCATCGCTGCCAGCATCTGCTCCAGCCCAAGGGGGAAGGGCAACATTCAATATCCCATGGCCCACTGATGGCTTAAAAATGACCTGTCCCCAGTGAATGCCCCTATGCAGGCTGCCAGCTACCAGCAAAACCAAGCAGCTAAAACTGAAAAGTAGAGATGATCTAACCAGTCTAATGTGTTCTTCACAGCAGCAAAGCACCTGCCTCCAGGATGCTGCCTGAGTAAAGGCCCAAATGTCTCCTCTTGTGGCTCTTCCTGATGGAGAACCTGGAAGAAGGTCACAGGGTGCTTGGGGAGGACACATGAATACAGGGTATGGATCAGTCATTTCCCATTTGCTCTCTCTGGAGTCTCTGCTCCGTGGTCATTAAGACAGTGTGTAAAACTGCATGCTGGTCTCAGTTCCATCTTGGTTCTTGTATTATTTCCCTCTCTACAGCATCCAAATGGATTTCTTAATAAATAGCTGCTTATTTCCCCCTTGCCAGGAGAGCAAATCGCTGTTTGTCCTCTTAATGGATGGTCTCAGCAGAGTAGCAATGAACTGAGCAGGCCAAAGGGACTGCTCACCAAGGCTGGAGGAGGGACCCTGTCAGCTCAGGACACACTGAGACCCTGGAGGAGCAGCACACCCTGCAAGCACTGCCCCATGCCAAGGGGGTACAGATGGCATCAATTCAGCCCTGCACCAGCACCACATTTTACCTAGCAGGGGAACAGCAGGCATAAAAGGTGCCAAGGTCTGGAGAAGACCAAACCCAGCAGTGCCCCCTCTGTGCTGTGTAATCTGAACACATATGTCACTGCAGGCACGAGCTGTCCTCACGTGTCCTGTCGGGATGTGGGCTCTACCCTCCTCTTTATAGCACAGGGGCCTCTTCCTAAGTGGGATCTCCTAAATGAACCCAATGCTGCTCATGCAATGGGGAGAATGCAGCAGGAAGGGAGACGAGCCACCATCCAGAGAGGCCTCTCCAGAGAGGGCTTGCACATCTCCTGCTCAGGAGACAGCACCAGGAGCATCCCGTGACACACCCGGATCGTCTGGCTCAGTACATACACAGCCCAGCTCGCCCACCTTGCCGCAGAGCCCGTCCTGCACACACATATATCTACACACTGAGCAAACCCTTTCAATCCCTCTGCTGGGGATGTGTTTAACAGGATTGCAGAGAGTCCCCCTCTAAGCCTCACCAGAAACATACTCGCAAGCCTGCAAACAAGTCTAACAGCAGAACAGAAGTGAAAAGGTGAAGGAGTTTTTGGCTGAAGCTGCAGGAGGAAGAGGCAGAGCTGGGCAGGGTGTTCCCAGTGCACCCTCCAGCCTCCTGCCACAATCCTACAAAGAAATGTATCCTGTTGTAAGGAACAGCGCAGGATAGAGGAATGGACAGAGACACTTCGAAAGAGCTGTCAGCAAAGCATTTATCTCTCTGTCTAAACCAGCACCGTGGCAGCTCCAGTGTGTTTTCATTGCAGGCTCGCTCCTTGACCCACCCCAACTTCAGCTGCCTGTTGGGGTCTTTACACCCCAGAGAAACCGTGTTTTACTGCTCTTGCTTTCTCAAGGTATTTCCAATGCAAATAGCATCTCTTTGGTAAAATCCTGTTTGACAGTTCCAGGTTCACTCTCTCTTCAGCAGGTTCCTAAACCTAAAGGCAACTGCTAAACCACAACAGGGAGAGGAAGAAACCACAGGTTCACTGTTTGCACCCAGGGATGGCTTCTACACAGGGTGTGGGGAGGGGGCTCTTTGTGGTTGCACCTTTGCATTTGACTTCTGCTTTGTCCTTGTTCTCAGATCTTCTGTGCAATCCAGAAGATTTTTCCCACTGACATCCTCCTATTTCTTTAGTTCTCACAGTCCTGCCTGCCTGAGATGCCCCTTTAGTTAACTGAATTCCTTACCACATCCTGCTCACCTGCCCCCACCCTTTGCTGCTCAACCAGGGAGAAGAAACCTAGCTGCTGTGGAGAGGGAAGCTTTTAGAGCCACCATTCCCCAAATTGATAATAATGTTTCTGTCCTGTTCCAGTTCCTGGGCACAGTGTGTGACAAAAGAGCAGGATCCAAACCTAGACACAAGTGTAGAGTTTTAAGAGTGAGATTTGGTGGGTGAGCCCAAGTTCGAAGCCCTCCAGGGACACAAACAGTGAATAGGTCTGAGGTTTAGAGTAAAGTCTTTGAGCCACTTCAGGCAGCAGCTGGAATGTGCTGGGGAGGCTGAGCTTGGTCTGCATGTGCCTCCGTGCTCCTGAATGGGGTTCAGGCAAGGGCATCCCTGGCAAGTCCATGTGCTGGTCCCAGCCTGCAGCTCCTCACTCACTGCAGCTTCTCTTTGCAGGGATATTCATTTACTTGTCAGAGAAAGGAGCCTCTCTGCACTTGGATGCAGAGAGGATAATCACTCCAAACACTGTGCTCTGCACACAGGCAGCCTGTGGTTCCCCTCCATCTA